AAAGACGTTCCCTTTCATTTAACCCCCAGTTAACTCTTCGTGTCCATGGTATTTGTGAGAGTTAAAAAGATTTTTCGAACAAATGACAAGTAACTATATTGATTTGCGTCAAGTTGGGTGGCCCGAATTTAAATGTCAGTGCATGAACTCTGGATGTCATTGCTCAGTGCCGCACGTAATTCAAACGCGTGGTTATTAGAGTTCAGTCGAAATGTACGTGAATAATGCGATCGAAGTCCGCTGCCCAGAGTTTATTATATTATAGTAAAATTTTATTTGACGTATGGTATGTTTATGTTTGCGTAATTATTATGAATGCAATGCATTATCAAGTCGGTGATATTGAAATATACCCCGGGTCAGTGCCCTAACAATAGTGGAAAAAAAACTAATTATCATGAAAGCAATACATAACGAAGTACAGAGCCGGTACAATATTGTAAACAAATTTGCGTGATTAGAAAAGCAGTGCACTAAGTAAACGACGTTCAAGTTGATATATTCAAGCCAGTACAGAGTTGCATACAAGTTGCGAAATTACAGTACCTTCGGATATAATAACAATTTTACTAGTTTGACGCGCGGGGCATGGAAAAAAAAAAAAAGGTTGCTAAGGTAACGCGCCAGTTCAGCGCGTGACTTGGGGTCAAAATTCGGTCAACACACACTTGATGTCAGCATCGCCGCGCAACAAGTTTCGCAATAAAGTACTTGAAGTTCAATTGCGTCCCAAAATGATGTCGCTGATCACTCAGTTGTCGCAGCGTGTGTTGTGTCATGTCCATGATGCACCCCGTTTCGACTTTGCCTTGCTTTTCCTTCTTAGCGATGCGACCTCTCACCAATGTATTAAAACACTTTGAATTTATACTTTGCATGATTATATTTGGTCAACGCGGAACATTATTTTTTCTAAACATTTTCTAAGACCATTTTTATCAACGCAGGGTTATTTTTCCTGACAAGATGGGCTTCGTAATATCTGCCATAACATCGCCTGGGGAATGCCTAGAAAAATAAAAAAAAGGCCGTGCAGCCAGACGGCTACTTTGTAGCCACGTGTTCATTGTTTGTTTGTGTACAGAGTGACCTTTGCCGTTTCACTGTTTCATTTCAAGTGTAACATGGTGCGTGGTCCTTGACGCAGTGCGTGTTCTCTGCCCGACTATACGCCATGAATGTCGCGAGCCACGAGTCTCGGAGGCACTAAAAAACGTCCTGTAATCGTGTTCATTAGAAAACAAAACAAATCACTAATAAATTTATGAAAACAGCCCCTTTTTGAATCGATCAAAAAGTACTCTTTTAATTTGCGCACCAAAAACCAATAATTTCCGTTTTGACGCTATTAATTTGTGCACTTGAAAAAATAATTATTTTTACTACCGCGAATTAATCAAGTTTTTATGGTAGTTAAATTGTTGTATTTTAGCCTAGGTTTAAATTAGAGAAGACACTTTGCTTCACATATTGTACCAGTAGCTTTTGTGACGCCTTCTGTTTTGCTATAAAGACTCCTCTGCCTAGTCTCTAAAACTACTGGTTGTTCCAATTCTTTCATTCATTTATACCTTTCCGGTAATAAGAATGATGTGGTGTATACAGGTTACAGTAATTGTCGTTGGTGTTGTCAACACTTTCTTGTAGTCAGGATAACACAAACTTAAAAATATTATCAACAAATGTTTAATCTACAATGCCTTTGATGCATGTCACTTTATTCTGTGGAACAATTTCAAAATGGTCGTCTGAGATTCTCTCAACAGTGGTCACATTTCAGTTTCAGCTTCATTTTATTTTTTATCATTGTTTTATTAAAACATCACTTACTTTTTTCAACTGTTTACTAGCAATCACACACAAGGTTTCAATAGTTTAATGTTGTTTTCATTGTGCAGTTATTTCTGGGGGCACAAGATGAATCCAGTGAGGACAAGGTAAGCTCATGTTATAATACTGCGGAGAGGGAATTATTCACTGAGTTAAATTTTAGCAAAATTGATGTTACAGAGATATTCACTAGGTTTTAAATTCACTGATTTGTAAAGTAAACAATGTATTTTCATTCTTTTTTCATATTAACTGGCTTTTAATTCAGCTGACTAAGCTATAAAAACCAGTGAATAATCAAGCTCCATACAGTCATTATGATTGTGGCATACTGGCGCCCTCTGGTGTCAGTTTGTTGTGTAGGCCTGAAAAGAGTATGTGCTGGGTTATGCAGCTATATTAGAATTAGCTCTTGACCTCACTCAGCTTAATTTAATCTTTCATACACTCTATTCAAACATTCTGTGTCCCAGTATCTCAGCGGCTAGACTCAATTTCCAGTCCCTGACCTTTGCCGTTTCTGTTTGTTACAAAACAACAAAGCACGACAAAATCGGTTTTTCAGCCATGTTGTTTTCATACTAAGTATTTAATTTGAAAATTTCGTTCGACAGTGACTGTATAGATATACTTGGTACATTCGTCTTAGTGCTCAGAGGTTTCATTCCTCCTTCAGTCATAGTTGTAAATTTATGCTTACACTTGCTGTGCCTTGAAGTGCCTGTGCAATGCCCCACCCACACGCTTCCCATTTTAGATCTGTGCCCCACTGAAATGGGTAATTATTGATTTTTTTGCTGAAAATGATTACTCGTATCCAAGTAAATTTGAGATATTTCCTGTGCTGTAGCCAAGCCCACCTATCCTGAAACAGTCGACTGTTTCCGGATTTCCGACTCTCGCCGAAAGTGCGCCACCAAATGCTAAAATATGAGAGGAAGCCATACCCCTGGGCCGTACTTTTATATCACCGTGTCATTCAACATACTTTTAACCAATATACATTTTTTGATCTGCGTTTCTTTTTTTAGCTCCGCTGTCGACTTTGTTGAGCGGAGCTTATCATATGAGTGATTGTCCGTCGTTCATGTCAATGTTTTACTTTTTTGACTTCTTCTTGAAAACTACTAGCCTGAATGCTTTGATACTTGGTGTATATGTACCTTGGGTAGACCTTTCTCAGATTTGTTCTTTTCATGTTGATATCTTAAATTCTCTAATTTTGGTGAATATTTTTGGTAAAAAGTGACATTTTCGACTTCTTGTTAAAAACCGCAAGTTCAATTGCTTTGATATTACATATATAGGTACTACATGTGGACTTCTCTCAGATTTGTTCATTTTGTAATATCTTCAATTCTCTAATTTTGG